GAGTCTTAACCAGTTGTATCTCACTCCTACTCGTTAGCTCCGTAACTATTTAGTATTTGAATATGGTTCTATTTTGTTTGGGGGTGCTATATTTATCTGATATGGTTTTCGATTGTTTTCCATAACCTCTTTTACAGAAATTGTACTCCACATCAAAAAGGTGAGGTAATATGTTCCAATATTTCTCTATATGTCTCCACCTATACTTGTCCATTTAATTTCCATATTCTTTGGTGCCAACACTAAGGACAATGTTGTCTTTTGTTTGGAGGTGGGGCAATGCTTTTGCTTCTATGGAAATTATAAGTTGAATTGCATGTCATGTCAAATTTGGGTGAATTATTGTTCATGTATGATTGGGAATTGGTATTTTAGGGCAGTTTTGAATATTTAATTCATGTTTTGGTATATGTGGTCCACATCATTGTCCAGTTTGACTATTATTAATGATAATTAGTCCCTATTGTACTTCACTTCTCACAATGCACACTAGTATTTTTTTGTGGGGTATAGGCCTAACCTTATGTGATATATTACCTGTGTTGGATACGAGTTAGTAGACCTTGAAAAGTAGATGTCCTTGGCATGATGATAGAGAAATATGCATGATTAGTTAATACCTTTCACGAAGTAACCGGGCCTCTTGCCTCAGTAAGCAATGAGTGTTCGCGTCAAAAAGTGGAGGGTTATGAAAAAATGAAAGTGTTGGTTTAGGTTCGAAACCTAGTTGACTTGAGTTAATAAGCTCTTTGGGGTGTCTTTACACCTAATGCCCTAAAACCATCTGGTTGGGAGTCATTAGCCTAAAGCTCGTTACATGGGTTATCTAGAAAGCTTAAGGGACTTAAACATTGCACAGCTTGTCATCCTAAAAAAAAAAAAAAAAAAAACAGATGATGATGGAAGAAAGAAAGATGAAAATTCGCATGCATAAGTAAAGTCATGAATTCATGCCTTAGGTACTCTAATTTGGAAGGGAATATTAATGAGTTGAAGCTATTGTAATGTGAAATATAAGGACAAAAGGGTAAAATACAAAATTGGATGCTAGTTCACTTCAAAAAGAAATTAGGGATTGATTGTTATTGAAAATATGTTGAATTAAACTTTGTGTGGGGACCATAGTATTATTGCATGTGATTAGAGGTTTGTGATTGCTTGAGAATATTAATCTTTCTTATATTTGACATAATAGCTAACTTGATGATGATGTGTATGCAATCATCTCTGATTCCATAGAAGTAAGTGAGCTAAGTACAAAGTGTGCACAATTTTGGATGTTTGTGGGTGTCATATCTGGAAACCCTCACGAGGCTATAGCTTGTCCACTAGGGTAACCTAGGGGTTTAAGGCCTTATTGCATATGGTAAATGCAATTGAAAGTAGCCTGCAAAAGTGGCACATTTTTAGTTAGGAGTCAGTTAAAGTAACAATTTTGTAAACTTATCTCTTTTTGCCTTTAATTGCTAGAGGATTAGCAAAAGCTTGTTTGGGGGTAATTTGATAAGTGCATAAAACTTGTTATTTTATACTTTATAATAAATGATTAATTAATATTTTTTATTAGATAAATGTTCTTATCCCTGCTTTTCATGTTTTATTGGGGCTGATTTCGGAATAAGAAGAAAAGAAACAAAAATAGCAGAAATGTGGGATTATACGATCAATCAAAGTCAAATTAAGAAATTGCCTTTTCCATTAAATCAGCATAGATCAGGCCAAATTGGAAAATATATCAAGACAGATTGGAAAATACGTCAAGTCAAAGATCAAGCCAAATTGGAAAGCAGCAAGATTTTAGGAAGATTTTTATTTTATTTTATTTTCACTTCTGTAATTAGAATTTTCTCCTCCCAATCGTTCCATTTTAAACTCTATAAATAGGGACATATGTAGAGGAGGTTAGATATACATTGTTAGTGAGATAAAATAATAAAAGTTAGAGAATTTTTGTCTTCAATTTATTTCTTATAATTTTTGTTATGAAAATTGTTTTTATTTCTTTATTTTGTTTTTTTATTATGTTAACTTAAACATCCATTCTCAAGGGAGTGATGAAGCCACCATGGCTGAAAAATAATTTTTTTTTTTGTTTAATTCTTTTATGAAATTTTCTCTTTAGAGCATTATTTTACTCTTCTATTCTGTATTCTTATTTTGATAAACAAATTAGAAAGAGGATTCTTCGTGTTTGCCAATTAATGGTAATTCGGAGAATACCTATTTCTATTTACCAAAGATATATCAGATTAAGTAAAATATGGTCTCAAGCAATTATTATTTCACGCTATTATTTTTCTTCATCTTTCAAAGTTGTAATTGGACTGGTGGAGTGATTTGCTTATAATAGGAAAATTTACATACAGAGAAATAAACAAATTTATTTATAGTAAGCTATGGTAATGGATTCTTCCCTTGAGATTTTTCTTATTATTTGATTAGAATTTATTTCGTCTTATTTATTTATTTTATTTTTAGTTTATTAGTAATAAATTAATAAATTGTTTTAAAAGTTATTCTTCCTTAAATTTTGGTTTTAATTTTGATTCACGAGTTTAAATCTTGTATGGTTCGACCCTGCTTATTCTATACCATCTTTAATTTAGTTTTTGCAGGTTTTTCTTATTTTTGCACGAAGTGTTGAAAAACAACGACAGAATTCATAATTCTACACTCGTCAGTTGAAGAAACAAAGTTGTCAAACAAGCTACCAGGTAGCTGTGACAATGGTGTTTCGGTTGACCAAATTGCCATTTCGGTCGGCCGAAATAGACCTCGAAAAAAAGAACAAGTGGAAGTTGCTTTGGTCGACTGGTTGTGCCTCAAACAGTGAAATTGGCTACTGGAATTGGAGTTTACTATTTAAATGTATTTCAAAATATGTGCCCATTTAGGTCGACCGAAATGCCTCGAAAACCTACTGAAACTCTATTGAACATGAAAGTCATACTTTGGAACCTATAGGATTCATTCTACCCTCATACATAAGTCAAAATCTGATTTCTAAAGATGAATGAACATGTGATCATATCAACAAGCATAAATATCATATTGAATCATGTCATAATGGTTCTAAGCCTCATTACACATCATGTGTTCCAAAACATAATTCATAAGTCCATAGATACCAAAAACACTACAAAGCACATGCTAAACACTTTGCATGATGACGAAAAGGAATGCTTGCACAACACATCCTTCAAAATAAGCTAGATATATCAACCATCCAAGAAAAGTGCTTCTTTACCTGAAAAGCATGGACAAAGGACCATCAATCTCATTTTATTCAAATCCTACAAGTTCTTCACGGAACAGTTTGTTGGGTGGGATTCAAAGTGCTTTTCACCCCGTCAAGGAAGGGATGCACAACAAGATTTTCAATCCGGGCTAAAAGAGCCCAAAGTCTTGCTAGAGACGTTAAAGACCAGTGCTTCGTAGGGTTTACAACCATATTCCTCCCTCATTTCTATTTTACCTTTCATTTCTTGAGTCGTCTAGATATGTTCTGAGTTCATACACATTGTTAAGGACTTTGATTGAGAATGCTTGCACTATCAGTTTTGAATTTGACATTTAGTGTCTATTCGATCGATCTGAGAAGAAGTCAGATCGATCGAACAATCATCTCTGCATCCAATCATTTCTCTGTCCCATCGAGCGTAAATTTCCTGCATATTTCAGCTCTCTATGTATCGTGCGAACTTCATTTTCGATCGATCTGAAATTCCAAGATCGATCCAGTTTTCCTTTGGATCAATCTTCATTCCATACTTAGAAAATTTTTTAAAGCATTGAAAAAATCACCTCTCTGTGTATCGGTCGAACATGTCTGCAGGTTTTCACCTATTGGATCGATCGAGATTTGATCGATCTATGTCCGATCGATCTGAATGCTTCCTGTTGACTTTGACTTCTTTTTAAATTTTGTTTTTAATTTAATTTAATTGTTATTTTGAAAAAAAATATATATATATCAAATAAAAAATCCAAAAATATTTTATTTCTTCAAAAAAATTCAAAAATTTTCAAAAAATACTTTGTCGTTTTATGAGTCCGATCGATATGAGTTCCTTCATAATCGATCTGAGTTCAATCGATCTGATTTCCTAGCGATCGATTGAACATGTCGGAGATCGTTTTTAAAAATATGACCCAAGGGTCATTTGGATCGATTTCAACATCAATCTCAGACCCCACCTCTCTCCCACCACTGTTCATCATCTCTCCTATCTTCGGCGAGTCTCTGACGACCGTCCAAACTCTCCAAACTCGATCCTGGTCTTCTTTCTCTCTCGGTCTCCACTTCTCTCCTTTGATTTGGTAAGTTTCGATATTATGTTTCATTTTCAAGCCTTAATCTAGTAATTTCCATTATTTCCATGTTTAGATCTGAGCTTTCCATGTTCCATTGTTGCCATTTTTGACTTTTGAAGCATGTGTATATATATATGTATATATTTTGGTTCTGATTTTGATTTAGGGGGTCACGTACCTATTTAAGTGACCAATATTAACTTATTGAGGTGTAGAGGGGCCTACGAGCTTGCTCGGGTGTCCCCCGTGTTGTCCACGTCACAGATCTGTGACTTTTTGTATTTTTGCAGAGTTCGATCAATCTCAATAGTTCTCAGATCGATCAGAAAAAAATCGATCTCACAATGTACTTGGATCGATCTCATCTTTTTCTTGATTGATCACTTTTCACACTTTGCATTTTCATATCTTTACACCCTCCATAGTGTTCATGCTAGTTTATTTATGTCCAATGCCTGTGTTTTCCACATTGGATGCATTTCATACTTATATTGTTTAACATGCTTCACTTATCTGAACATTCAATGTCTATACCTGGCTGCATTATCACTTGTATAGATTCATGTCAATTATTCTGAGTTATCTATCTTACTTGACAAACATGTTTCTATTTGTGTGCTTTAATTCTATATTTCATATAATATTCCTGGTACTGACCCCAGTGACAGTGTTTCTTTCTTTTGCAGTCCATGGCTCGAGTGAAGACTGTTGCTCGCTGGCAGTATCAATGCCGAGTGCGACAGCGAGTGGAGGAGCCTGAGGAGCATGAGGAGCCAGCTCTAGCTCAGTCTGAGCGTTCTGTTTCTTCTGCTTCTGCAGCTTCATCTTCTTCATCGGCCGATAAGGCTGAGCATATACAACCTCCTTCACCACCACCAGCACAGCCCGGCCAGGTCCGAGATAGACCTATCAGGAGATACTCACACCTTTCAGTGGCGCATGAGTCTGTCTTTGACACTGTTTTCTTTTCCCAGTCAATTCTAACCAAGGCCGTCTTCGATGAGATTGACCGGCGCGGCATTTCAGCTATTTTGGCTCCGGTAGGCTACCCTATTTACCTACGGCTCGTCCCGTTGTTCTACCAGAACCTTCAGCCGACCCCAAGTAATCTATAAGAGTTACGGACTACTATTGATGGCCATCTTATCCGTATCACTATTAAGACATTGGCCACATCTTCTCGATGCCCACACGTCTGCCCTCCTGGCCTTTAGTATCTTATTCTCCGGAGGCCATCTGACACAGATATGGCCATTGCACTGACTGGCCCTTATAGTGATGGCGAGACATTCGCCACCCGGACTTATTTGCCCGATGATTTATGGTTCTTCGACTCAGTCTTGTACCGAAATGTATTTATGGCAGGCCATAAATCCAACGGCGTTCAGATTTTCTTCCAACCTTCTACACCTTCTATACAGGCCATTGGTTTTCTGTTCCTACACTTTACTGGAGTGTCATGATGAGATTGTATGCGAGCTTCATCAGCAAGACCAAGCTTGGGTGAGCCACTTTCCTTCCCTTCGAACATCTGATTACCCAGATCCTCCGAGATCAACATTATCCTTTTCATGTAGCAAAGCATCCTGAGTCAGAGGCTTGCCGCTATGGCAAAAAGGATTGGAACAAGAGCTACGATGCTTTCATAAAGAGTCTCGAGGATGAGGCCATCTTGGCAGCAAAGGAGGTAGAGTTAGCAGCGATGGATGAGCAGGCAGCAGTAGTAGCAGCAGCGGCAGATGATCCAGCAGACCCACAGGTGGTTCCGGATGCATATATAGATATAGACTTGGAGCGGGAGCCTCCAATAGAGTCATTGCATCACTTTCTAGCAGGGTCGCCATTACATTCTCAGGAGCTGAGTCAGGATGTACCTCAGTTTCATTATCCAGTCATTCCTAACACTCTAGTCCAGACACCTAGCCTAGGAGAGTGTATCCAGACATTGGAGGATGCGGTTGTCTCTCTCCAAGCAGATGTGACTACTCTCCGCTCAGACATACTGACTGCGCTGCAGGGCATTTCCAGAGATATCCGGGGATCACGCTCCACCAGATCGACCTCATCTGCTTGATCTCTATATCTCTCTTTTATCATTTTATATATCTGTGCTCCTTGACTATTATTTTGATACTGTTATTTTTGCGACTAGTCTGTTGGCCCAGATCCTGTGTTGTACCTTATACTGCTTTTATTTTCTTTATCTTATGCATGATATTTTTGGATGTCAGGTTATTATATTGATCTATTTATCTGTGATTGACTACATTATCAAGTGCATCTTAGTGACTTCAGTAAGAGAGTGCTGCCCAAATTTTTTTCAAAACCATCCTTATTCCTCTCTCCTTAGTTCATTTATTATTCCATTTACACTTGTATGTCCATTGTGCACTGTTATTATCTCCTTTGTTATCTGATGACCTTTTATCCCAGTGCCATCTTTTCAGGACCACAGTCAATCCCAAGTTTGGGGGTTGTACCTCCCATTTCGGATACTTGTGTCCCGGCCATTCCTTGCCTTAGCTGCACTGGTATACTATTTCCTTTTGGTTCTCTTTACACATTGAGGACAATGTGTCATTTAAGTTTGAGGGTAATGGGTGTTATTTGTAGTGTTTGTTTTCAATTCAAAATTTTGAGCATGACTTGTGTATTTGAGTGATTTTCTATGATTGGTCCATGACTAGCTATGATTTTGATCTTTTAAGGACTATATTGCTTAAAATTTAAAAATTGCTTAACTTGAGAGTCCAATACTCCTTGTATGCCTTGTGGATGCCATTTAGGAGTACATTTTTCAAAAGATTGATATCTTGCTTGTATTTGTGGTCCACATCATCCTGATTTTGTGATTATTTTGAGATTCACTCTAGTATTCTACACTAGCACAGGCGCACACTAGCATTCATTTGTGGGGTACATACTTTATTAATTATTGAATTGGATAAATCCCAATTGGGCTAGTAGTGCATTGAAAGATTTCATTTTTGATAAAGGTGGATAACAAACCCTTTTCATTGAGTAGCCGGGATTCTAGCCTCATCAAGCACTGAATTTCTCATGCCAAAAGGTGGAGGGCCTAAACCCTAGGTAATAATTGAATGCTAAGAAAAAAAGAAAAAGAAGAAAAGTTGCAAAAGTAATAAAAAGTGAGGACTTCTTCCAAAATGTGAGAAGTGGGAAATGATTAGATAGATGTTGTTTTGATTTGTAGCCTAGTTGATTTAAGCTTGTAAGTCCTTAGGGGTGTTTAAACGCCTAATGCCTTAAAGCCATTTGGTTTGGGAGTCATTAACCTAACGTTTGACCTCATGGATTGCTAGAAAGCTTAATAGATCAACACATTGCACTATGCTTCCATCTTTGATCCTCTAGGATAAAATAAAAAATAAAATAAAATCGAGTGAAAAGAATAAGCGCACCTAGGTCAATAAAACTTTAATAAAAGATCCACTCTTTATCTTGATGATCGGTACTAGATTTGTGTGTTAGTTTAAGGGTAAGGATGTAATTATTCTTTAGTTAGCTTAGATAGCAACAAACTTGATGCCGGTCCACTTAAAAAGGATTCTAATATTGTTTTGATTTGCATGATCATTTTCTTGATGTGTGGAGGACCATACTTGCTTGTTTGATGTTAAAATTTTGGAAGATTGCTTGGCAATGGTTGAAAAATTACATACTTGAGGTAGTCTTCTCCCAATGCTTGTTTGCAATATTGGTGCCTCTTTTATGAGAATGAGTTTAATGTTTATGGGTATCATTTCTGAAAACCCTCACGAGACTTCACTCGTCCACTAGGGGTAACCTAGGGGTTTAAAAGGCTTGTTACATATGCTAAATGCAATCGTGTTTCCTACGAAAGTGATGTTATCCATTTATTGCTTTCTAGATTTATAGTTGTATAGTTGTTCATTTCATTCCTTTACTTCGTAGTTCATTGCTAGGGACTAGCAATATTTAAGTTTGGGGGTGTGATGAGCGCTAAAAAGTGCGCATTTAAACCCCTTAAGCTCGAGTATTCTAGGACCTTCATCTATCTTATTTTCCCGTTTTAGACTAATTTCATATTATTACCCTTTTCAAGCGATTATCCCCAAAATAAATCAATTCAGCTGTGATACCCCTCAGATCCGAGACACGGGTTGATCAGGCCCAAGCCCAAACCCGAGGGAATATCAAAAAATTAATATTTAAAACGAACACAGATTACAAAATGAATTAAGAAATAAATAAAAGCTGAATGAATTCTAAAATAAAATCCTTTCAAATTAAATGCTTAGAAAATCCAATAATCCAAAACCTCCAATAGTTTAAACAACTCGGGAATCCATCTCAAGTGGACCCTTAATAAAAATCCAAACTGAAATGAAACTACTAAAAGAGCATTCAAAGTAAACCATGGAGAGAAGTCCTACGTCGTCGGAAGAGTGAGTGATTGTCTCTGCTCAGCACGATCAGGTCTAAAATTGAAACTGGTAAATACCTGAAAAATAGAAATGGGTCAGGCCCATGAACAAGTTCCATCCTACTGCAATCCAACAGAAACTCGATACGCATGTACATCCTAACCAACTCAACAATAACTATGTAATCCGTACATATATATATATATATATATATATATATATATATATATATCCACACTATGGAACTCTCATTGGACTATGATGAGGGTCTCAACCTGAGTAGAAGGCAACATGCAAAACGCACTTGAGTGGGTATGACTACCTAAGCCTAACAAGGTATACCTCAACCAACATAGCCAGCTACGCATCCTACTGCATATACGCTCCCTAACCGTCGATTCTGAGACTCAAGCTCATATCGCGGTACCATAACAATATATTTAAAGTCCCATCCTATCCATCCACAAGAAATCCAGTAAGCCGTTCAGCTTGTTCAGCTACATTGACTTACATATCCATAGCAAGTAATCCAATTAGTCATTCAACTTAGTTTCAGCTGATCTAACTCAAATATAAGTAGGATTTATTTTATAATCCATTCCCTTATTTCGTATAGGTAGGATTTAGTATTTTGAAACTAATCCGTCTCTAGTATACCACTGTCTCATACCGGTGCATACAATCCATCCATCAAGTAATTGATAATACAGATAATGAAAGTAAATATCAACTAATCCATACATCCAACAATTGATAATTAAAATATTAAATATAAGCATTAGTTGTTCCGTAATAAGCATACTAAAGTTATGTATTTTAACATGCTGCTTTTACACTACACAACCAAAAATCCAGCAATTGACAATACAACAGTATAAGCAAATATCAATTTATCCCCACTGTCCGTATAATTGAGGGAACATAAATAAATGTACACATTAATTAATTCCATGGCGGGCATAATAAACATAGGTGAACTGTCATGCCTATAATACCAGTCCCAACAATTATGCAATAATTACTTAAATTGCATCATTAACTAATCCTTAACAAGCATAATAAAAATACATATTTTAACATGCTTAATTCATTCCACTGTTATATGATTAGAATTGGATAATCAGTTACAAAAAATTGCTAGAACAACATAAGCAATTTAAACCATTCGCATCCCCTACCAGTTTGCAACTTTGTTAAGAACTGTTTACTGTTCAACCTATAAACCCTAGATGGTTTAATTATCCAGTCCCACATTCTCTGGGATTTTAATGTAACCTCAGACCTCATCTAATTTCCCATGCACAGTCTCCGAATACTCCAGAAAAGTAGAAAAAAAAAAAAAAAAAAAAAAAAAAAAAAAAAAAAACAAACCCAGAAGCGAAAATACACCAAAACTGCATCAAAAGGGGGTGGAGCCACCTCCCCCACATGGGGGAGCCGCCTCCCCCTTGAGTGGAGCAGGCTCCACACCATGTGGAGCCGCCTCCACACACCCTAGAGCAGGCTCCACCCTTGTGTGGAGCCGCCTCTTCTCACATGAAACCATACTGCTCGTTTCTCTTACCCGTTTCACTTCCGGCGACCTCCATTCCTTCTGTCCTCCATTATTAAGGTTTCTACTGGTTAATTCTAAGTCCCAGTGTGTTCCAGAGATTTTAAAAATCATTAATCATTAACCAACATCAATCAACACAAGGAATACGCAAGAAAGATTTAAAACAACCAATTACCGATTCATGAACACATACTGTTTTAATCAAATCTAACATGCAAACCAGATTAATTTTAAGGTTTCCCAATGTGTTTCAGAACTAATAAGAGTCTTTATCCATCAACTAACATCACTTAAATCATGAATTATGTAAAAAGAAGGTAAAATAAACAATTAACAGTTCATGAACACATGTTGATTAAAACAGTGCAAGCATGCGAACCAGATTGATTTTAGATCTTTATCTGTTCCTGGAATTAAGTTAGACATGTAAAGAACACGAGTCAAAGGGAGAGAGTTAAGAACAGAACTTGCCTGTAAGATTTTGAATTAAAATCTTTACACCGTCTTCCTAAATTTTTCGGCGGTTCCTACAGTTCCTGACTCCTCTATTGCCCTCTATTTCTCTCAGTCTCACTATATACGTGAATAGGGTTTTTGATTTCTAAACCCTAAGCCAATCTCTAATGATATATTTATATAGGCTTAAGGAAAACCTAATTCTATTATATTACGATATAGAAACCTCAACTAAATATAACCCTAGTCGGCTAAATCGGGAAACATAAAAACCCTAGAATTATAATGAATACGAAAACCATTAAAAACAATTAATTCATATTTCCACGTAATCATATATTAAAGAAAATAAAATAACTAAAACAAATACTCAATTAAATAATTCAATTAAAACTAAAACAAATACTCAATTAAATAATTCAATTAAATAAAACAAATACTATAATTAATTCAATTAATTAACAATAATTAAAACAAATAAGCAAAAAGCCAAATAAACACTTACAAATGCTAAAGTTACAATAAAACCATAAAATAAACTACCGAGACTATCCTTTAAAAATTAGGGGTATTACATCAGCCAAATTAGAGCATAAAAGAAGCAATCTTAAGCTGAATGGAAGGAAGGAGCAAAAAAGAGCAAAGTGGTTGAAAACAGCAAGTTTTGATTGATCAGACATATCCCAGATCGATCTCACAGTGATCGATCCAGCCTCACCAATATGGATCAAACCCCTTGTCCTTATCCTCAAGAATTTCCATCTTCGATCGATCCAACTTTCCTTTAAATCGATCGAACTCCTTTGATCTTATCCCCATCTACCACTTTTGTCTTTTTTCCTAAAATATCCCAAAAATATCTTTTATTTGTCATATTCCAAAAAGGCGCCGCTAAGGATTGATCGATCTGGGCATACTTCGATTGATCTGGCCAGAGTTCGATCGATCTCATTAGAATTCGATCGATCAAATCTCCTCAAGTCTGAAATAAAACAAAGTCCAGCTCATTAAAAGATGGCTCGTGGTGCAATCATTGAGAGGACCCTAGTACACAAGACCTGACCATTGGGTCCCTAGTACACAAGACCTGACCATTGGGTGTGACACTTGAGCTACCTATATAAGGATTTTGAGCCATTTTACACAAGAGAATGAATAGATATATATTTTTACAATCTTGGAGAGGAGGCTAGAGATTAAAAAGATACACACCATTTGGGAGTTCTTCCATTCATCTAGGATTTCCATCAAGGAGAAGAAGATCATTCCTACCATAGAGATGGCCTTTAAGGGTTGGATGACTACATCAATGAGTGGCTAAACATCTTCATGGGGCTAGAGTTATCCCTAAGCATGCCTTCTGGATCTTGATGTTTTGTATTTTGAGGGGATTTGTGTTGTAATTTTGTCTTGACATTACAAAGACCCGATACACAGATACATCTTAGATATCTCAACAATATCTATCTAGTCCATAAATATATATATCCACACTAAGGGACTCTCACTAGACTACAAAGGGGGTCTCAACCTGAATAGAAGGCAACATGCAAAACGCACCAGAGGTGGGCATGAGTACCTAGACCTAACAGGGTACATCTCTACCATCATATCTAGCTATGCATCCCAATGCATATACACTCCCTAACCAACGATCCTGAGACTCAAGCTCATATCGTGGTACCATAAGTATATATTTAAAATCTATCCAAAACTAGAGTATGTCATTCAATTGTTCATTGATCTGACATAGCTAACAACTAATCCAGTTAGTCACTCAACTTATTCAGTTGATCTGACTTAACCATCAATAACAATTAATCCAAGTAATCACTCAACTTCCTCAGTTGATCTGACTTAAATATACGTAGGATTTAATTTTATAATCCATTCCCTTATTACAAAGTAGGTAGAACTTAGCGTTTTGAGCTAATCCATCCCTAGTATGCCACCATCTCATACCAGTGCATACAATCCATAACATCTATGTAATTGACAGAACATAATATACTAGTTTAGCAATTAAAATCCAAACCTTAATCCATGTAATTGACATAACATAGTTTAATAGTTAGCAAATAGAATCCAAAATACATCCATGAAATTGACAGAACAAAAGTTAATGGTTCATCAATTAAAATCCCGAATAACATTCATGTAATTAACAGAACAGAATTAAATGGTTCATCAATTACAATCCATAATAAGCATAACAAAATCTAATAAGTATATAACCTTATTATGCAACCAATACAGATTTAAAAATCATATTACAATCCGTTAAATTGCTAGAATCAAATTAAGCAATTATATCATTTATCCGTTAATAACATGCAAGATTGTTTAAACTTTCATACTGTTAAATCCATTAGCATAAAGACATTAATTATGCATGGTGGGTTCTAATATAACATAATACAATGTTTAGAGTCCTTACAAATAACCCAAAACAGTCCAGAAACCTCAAAAATACCAAAACAGTCCCTCAAACCACGTCCAGTACATAATTTGGCATGAGTGCAAGCTCTCACAAGTTGAGAGCCAACTCTCAACCACTAGG